TGTTTTCAAACTCGTATTGTCTCTTTAATGGTTTAACTGACACTTTGGGAAACAGTACCAGGACTCCAACACCACACTGCTCAGGAATAGCCACCAGCATTCCCCCCCATCACATAACACTGCTTCCGGCCCTACTGTATGTTCCTACGGGGAATGCTCGACTGGTCTCCAAGTCACACAGAGAGGGTAACACCACACACATGGCCCTCAGGTACCTCGCACGACCCACATACCTTTGTCCCTTTGAGAATGGTAAAGAACTAAAAGTTAAAAACCTACTTTCCACAAGAAAATGTGGTATATATACACAATGGAATTCTATGCCTCCATCAAAAAGAATGACATTGCCCTGTTTGTTAGGAAATGGAAAGACTTGGAAAAAATTATATTAAATGAAGTAAGCCAGGCCCAAGAAAACATAGGTCCCATGGTTTCCCTTATTTGCAATAACTAGTATATGCCTGAGACCAGCAGAAAAGGTCAGATAAGTTGATGTTAGGTGAAATGAACCCCAAGATAAGGATTCAAATGTTTTTTCTTTCTTGCAATTGTTTCTAACATATTTATAAGATGATTTCTTTGTTGCTTTGTATGTCCCTCCCCCACAGTATAACCCCTGCTTTCATTGTATTTGATGTTGGTATAATTTGTGGAGGGGAAGGGAAAAAAACAAATCGTTTAAATAGGGATACAAGTGGACCCATTGCAACAATGAGATGTACAAGTCGTTATGTCGAAAAACAAACTTTACAACTTTGGCTGGGGGGGAGTGGGGGAGGGTGAGGGGGGGAGATGGAAAGGGATGGGAAGGGGAAACAAAGGAGGAGGCAACAATGCTTGATAAGAAATGTACTCATTACCTTGCCCATGTAATTGTAACCCCTCTGTACAGTATTTTCACAATAAAAATTTTTTTAAAAAAGAAATGTACTCATTACCTTGCCCATGTTTAAAAAAAAGAAAATCTGGGCTGGGAAGGTGGCTCAGTGGTAGAGCGCTTGCCTTGCATGCTCGAGGCCCTGGGTTCGATTCCTCAGCACCACATAAGCAAAAAGAAAAAAGCCGAAAGTGGCACTGTGGCTCAAGTGGTAGAGCACTAGCCTTGAGCTGAAGAGCTGAGGGACAGCGCCCAGGCCCAGAGTTCAGGCCCCACGACCGGACCCAAAAAAAAAAAAAAAAAAAGAAAATCTGCTTTCCAGGCTCATTCTCATCCCCCCCATGCAGTCACTGAAGACTAGAGGCAGCAGTGAGGCGCCTCTGCTCTGGTGCTGGCACTGCAGTTGAGGCAGCCTTCCAGGACATGGTTGGGTCAGGGGCAAGCCACCCATCCTCAGGTGCTAACCCATAGTACCCTCCCTTGAAGCCACAGGTACTTCACCTCCCTAATTTAAATGCTTCACTCTAAGTTGCTGAGCAGTTTCTCTACCCACACTAACCCAACCCTAAATAAATGATCTACTTTGGGGCTGGGAAGGTGGCTCAGTGGTAGAGCACTTGCCTTGCATGCTCGAGGCCCTGGGTTCGATTCCTCAGCACCAAATAAGAAAAAAGCCAGAAGTGGTGCTGTGGCTCAAGTAGTAGAGTGCTAGCCTTGAGCTGAAGAGCTGAGGGACAGCGCCCAGGCCCAGAGTTCAGGCCCCATGACCGGACCCCCCCCCCAAAAAAATGATCTACTCATCCCTCTCCAGCACCCAATATGAAATGGATTGAACCAGATAGGAAAAACCAGTGGTAGTAAAAACAGAAAAGCTGATCTAGAACCCTAATCCTAATTAGTCATAGGACAGAAGGTAACAAAAGTCAAAAGAAACTACTCTAATTGGTACAATTTGGGCTCCCTTCCAGAAGAACATTGTTGCATGGTAGGGTGCATAAAAATTCATGCCCAAAAGAGAACCTGGAACCATCCAGGGACTGTGTTTGGCCATATGGAAACTCTTTGTGGTGGAGCCAGCAAGACAGAATGCTATCTGGCAGTACTGGCCCAGCCCAGTTGGTCATGCTGCAGTCTAGGAACATCCCAAGACCGCTCCTGACTCAGCTACTTCCTCTGTCTCAAGAGATAACAATGACTATCTTTGGGGGGGGGGGGGAGGATGAGATATTTAATATGCTTATGTGTGTGCAAGAACTCTGAAAGTACAACTAATGATAAGGCTTCCCTTTCAAGAGGCAGAATCCTTCAGAGGAAGCTAAGCTTACAAATGGGTGTTGCACCAGAGGGAAGCAGCCCCAACCCAGGTTCAAATGATGCCCAAGACCCTTCAAGCCAAGCCATCATGGCCTCTCTCATTGCATAAGGTACTCATTTACATCAGGAAAACACTTTGAAAATATGGTATTTTCATGTTACACATCCCAAAGAGCTTCATGGGGCTTCTCCCCAATGAGAAACAGGAACAAAGAAAGGAATGATATGGGTTCTTCCACCTAAGGGCCATCTCATCCCACTGCATCCATATTCTTTTTATTCATGGAGCTAAGGATAAAGTGCAGGGCTTTGTACATACTAAGTACGTGCTCTGCCAGGGCTATACCCTAGCCCTGCTGCCCTCCTGTCTTTAAACTCTCCTGAACATAAAGCAATATACATGGATACTTCTTCCACCTTCTACCCAGACATCTTTTTCTTTTTTTTTTTTCTGAGTCTTTCTAGTCAGCTGCTTCCCTTCAGGAATGATTATAGGGACTCAATTTCCATCACAAAGGAAGTGTTTCTCAAACAATTTTCTTTGCACTGCTATAGTACTAATTTACATGCCTAACAAATAAATGAGAAGTATAAATGTCAAAGTGGATATACTGCTGCAAGGAATGAACCTCAAGAGAATACTACACACACACAAATACTGAAAATGAAGCTATTTCTGACTGAGTTTTGGCAAGAGAAAATGAACTGTGAAAATAAAAAGGAAAAATTACAATGAAAACAACATTCAAAGAGGCTTTCAAAATGGAGCTAGGAGATCATTAAGAAACAGGACAAACGGTGGGTGCTGGTGGCTCATGCCTATAAATCCTAGTTCCTCAGGAGGCTGAGATCTGAGGATTGCAGTTCAAAGCCATCACAGGCAGGAAAGGCTGTGAGACTTTTATTTCCAATTAACCACTAGAAAACTGGAAGTGGCACTATAGCTTAAAGTGGTAGAGCACTAGCCTTGAGCAAAGGAGCTCAGAGACAGTGACCAGGCCCTGAGTTCAAGCCCTATGACCACCAACAAAAAAACAAAAAGAAAAGAGACAGAATAACCTATGCAAATTCCATCTGCTACCTCAAAGGGAAATTTTGGTTACCTCCACCCTTTTCATTGCATCTAGAACAACCCAAACAGTTTGAAGAACAGAAAAGTTACCGCACTCTTGCTTTGTGCACATTTCCATCCTTTTTACATTGACTTTTGTTGTCTCCTCCACCCCCAAGAACTGAACTCAGGGCCTTGCACATGCTATACAAATGCTCTGCCCCTGAGCTACACTACCAACAACCATTCTTTACCATTCTTCACTTTATCTTCTATCAGCCAGATAGCCTCTGTTCCTTTTCATTATTCAAAAGCCTATAGACAGGGTTCCACTTCCCCTTCCTTGGAACACTGACTCAGCTAGTCGAATTGTCTTCCTAATTTTAATAGCTGAAACCTCAAATAATATCCTTATACAGTTTTAGTTTGAATTGACAGAATAAACTATTTTCCCCCAAGGAATGTTTTAAGGGATTCTGTCTCTGAACATACTTGTGCCTTATTATTTCCAACTGAACAGAACAGGATTTCAAGAACAGAAACAGTGTTTCCCAGTGAAGAAAAATAAAGCAGCACAAATAAAACTGGCACAATCCCCAATGAAGATGTGAGTACAGGAAAGTGTTCTGCAAGGGAAGAGAATACTTTAGTAAGGAAGTGGGGGGGGGGGAGGTAGCAGATAATGGGTAAACACCAATAGAAACAAATAAACTCAAAAACCCTTAAGGAGAAAGTGGAGGGAGGAGGGAAGGAAGAAAGGAAAGTCTGGGGCCCTAGCTGTAAACAATTCATTGTGGAGTAAAATGCTGGAACTAGTTCACACTAAGTCCACATTTGAGATAACAGACACAGGGATACAACCTCCTTTCAATAAATCAAACATTCTTTATAGGGAGAGGTGTTTACAATAGTAAAAATAAACCACCCTCAGTAATAAATGGCTATAACTCTGTTGTACTATCCAGTAGAAGATAGTTCCACTTTTTATCAGCTATATAATTTAGTGAAAAAGCTTAATCTCAGGGAAAAAAATGCAATCCTCAGAAAAAGATAACGTTCAATTGTCAGAAAGCCCCTTACACACACACAGACACAGACACACAGACACACACACAGACACACACACAGACACACACACATACACACACACACACACACACACACACACACACACACACACACACACACACACACACACACACACACACACACACACACACGCTTCTCTTGTTTTTTATAAAAACTCCCTTAGCCTCCCCAGTGCTGGAATTACATGTGTGTACCACCACACCTGGCTAGAGGCCTCTTGTCAATCCATGTAAGATCTGGTGTGGTTTGCTTTTGATTAAACAGTTATAAATTGGGCATAGTGATGCACACCTATAATCTTAGTTTCTTGGGAGGTTAAGGCATGGAGCTGTGAGTTCGAGGCTCACCTCAGCCACATAGCAAGAAGACTATCCAAAAGAGGAGAAAAAAGCCCAACTTTCTTGGTAGTATTCAGACATAAACACTTTAATCTTTAAGATACAAGCACCTGGCACAACAGTGCAGTGGTAATGCCAGCATCAGGAGGAATCTGGGGTCACCTTGGTCCTTCTGCATTTCTCACTATTACCACTGCAGAAGTTCCACAGGCCCAACTAGGAACTTAGGTCTCAATACAGGGCAATGCCCAAAGCTCAACCGACAGACATACTCTACAGGCACAAAGTATCATTCAAAAGAGAATGGTGAGGGAAACACAGCAGGCCTTACCTTCTCATCCTGGTATACCCTGTTGACACTCTCCAGCTGGAAGTTGTGGCTGGACTGGATCTTGTCGAGCTGTTCTCGCTGCTTCTCTAGCTCGCCCTGGAATTCGTTCTTTTTCAACTCCACAGCACCTCTCTCTGCGGCCGCCCTGCGGACCCTGTTTTCCAACTCTAAGACTCGGGTCTGTAAGGAGACCACAGTGTGAGGGCCAAGGTCAAACATCCCCAGACATGGCCCAACCAAGATCCCTTAATGAAGCCCACACTGAGGACTTATCTGCACCCACCACCAAAATGCAGGGAGACTAGCAAGAAGACTGTCAATGATGGAAGATGTCAACTAAACGGGTAAGGTGCTTGTTGTAGGCAGGCCAAAGACCTAGACATAGAGACTGGGGAATTAAGCTTTACTAGATCACAGGTTTCAAAGATGCCCAAGTCTGGCAAAAAAACAAAAACAAAAAAACTTTAGCCAAAATTGACCACAGTATGTGAGAAAGCTAAAATCATTATTTTCATTAAGTGATGATGATAAAGACTGACATCTTTAAAAACATACTTCCTTATACTGATCATCCCAATGTACTGTGTCACCTGTAAAGTACAGAATTGAGAATGGGCATGTCCAACATATCTCTGTGAGCCATCTTACCACCTCCAAACACTCAAGTGAGAAGCAGAGATGTTGGTTTCAGTAGCAATCCTCAACAGTCTCACACAGAGGAAGCAGCACTGGATTGAACTAAACTCCCAGAGTATATGCTCTGGGCCCAATGATTTAGGAGACAACACAGAGCAAGCTCCTGGGGCATCCAGAAATGTTAAACACTGGATGGCATCCACACACACAAAACAAACAAGATACCTGTAGTTCCATGCTCCGGGAGCTTGCAATCCAGTAGTTGAAGCCCAAGATGACGACACAAGCCACCAGGGCAGCCAGGACAAGGGGTGGAGACTTCATGCTGCGACGCCCGTTTCCCAATCCCATCATCTCAAAATCAAAGCTGAGAATCTGCCAAATAAAAAAAAAAAAAAGGGGAGACAGGAAGATGGCTCAGTGGTAGAGTGCTTGCCTTGCATGCATGAGACCCTGGGTTCAATTCTTCAGCACCACAATAGCAGAAAGCTGGAAGTAGCACTGTGGCTCAAGTGGTAGAGAGCTGAAGGCTAGCCCAGGCCAAGAGTTCAGGCCCCACAACCAACAAAAATAAAAAAATAAAATAAATAAAAAACAAGAAAGAAGCTTCCAAACTAGTACTGTCATTCCCAAAGCAGGCGACATCCATCCTCACCACCCACGGGAGGGTAGCCCATGAGGAAGCACAGATTCAAGCTCTCCTTGACACGTGAGAAAGCATGGATCGTGGCTATGTCACAGGTCTGTGGCTGGGAGTGGTAGCAGACTTCCCAGCACAGGCTCACCATCCAGCATGAGACCTCAGGCTAAGTACCATTTATCTTATGCTTCAGGTTCCCAGTTTGGGGCATAATTATACTATACACCAACAGGAAATGTCTGAGGATTAATCATATTTGTAAACAATAGCAAATATTAAGTGTAAGGTCTGCATGGGCCTGCAGGCCTGGTGCAGACACCTCCCTACCTCTTGGCTAAGTTTCCATCATTATCTGTGTTACCTACGGAACTGAAAGCAGTCACCTCCTCCTCCAGGGGTGGTTAGGGCCTCCTCTGGTCACGTGTCTCCCATTTGACCTTAGGAGGGTCCCAGACCCTGAGGTATGTCCAGATCCATTGTGGCCACACCTTTCCCCCACCTGGCCACACCTCTTCCTGTCCCTGGCCTACGGAAGTCCTGGCCCAGGGGTGGGTCACCTCTCTTTTTTCAGCCTTGCCTCTCCACCATGCACAGCAGGGGCAGCAGTTCGGTAAATAAACTTCTTTTCCTGCCTGAATAGTGCATGGTGCTCTCTCTCTTCACTGGCTACCTAATGAAACCTACCTACCTAATATACCTTACATTGTTTCCATATCATGTTAAAAGAATCCCTTTAACTGCCCAGAGAAGGCTTTATATGATTCCTAACAAGTGAGGGTTTTCATTTGTTTATGAGGTTTTTTTTTTTTAACCAATTGACAAAATCGCAGGAAACCTAGGCCATAGGTCACCCCCAGTCTCACCGCTCAGATGAGGCCCAGGTGACCATAGTATCTCCTTTCACAGCGTGAGAGGGACAGGAATGGGAGGTGTATAACTGGGCTAAAGAGGAAGGGGCAGGAGGGTAGAGGTCCAGTTCCGTTTCAGGATTCAGAATGGAAATGACCCCCTGGCTCCTTGCACATACATTTCTGACCTTATGGGCTGTGTTTGTGCAACTGTAGGGTGATGTGCTCCATAGTGATGTTAACAAGAACTGTCTCCCACTGAGAGCAAGAGTGCACAGGGAGCACAGGAAGACAGCTAGAAGTCAGGGGCGATCAATTTTGTTCCCAGACTTTGACCCAAAACCAGATATGGCTGAATTGGAGCACCAGTCACCAAGTAAAAGGGAAGTTGACTGGAACAGATTTTAAAAAATCTTATCAGAGTGAGGAGAGCTGGGAAGAGTACAGAAAATTAAAGGAAAGGAAAAAAGAGAAAGGGAGAAAAGAGAAAAAGGTAGGAGGATGGAAAAGAGGAAGGAAAGGAAGAGAGGAAAGGATGGACAGAAGGTAGAAGATGATGGAAAGGAGGTTATAAGAGGAAAGTGAAGAGGAAGGTGGAGGAGGTAGAGGAAGAAGAGGAGAGGTCAAGATTCACCGGTAAGAGCATATTCAGATTCTCATAGTAGAGGTTAACCTGCCATCAAAGGTAGCTTCCTTCTGTTAGCTGCTAGCAAAGGACCTGGGGTAAATAAAAACATGTACAACAAAGCCACTGCATGACCATGGCTAGATGCCTGGGTACACTGCCCACTTATGACCTCAAATCTGCAGCTCTGGTCTCAGGGGGAAAGACCAAAAAAAAGCACATTTAATTCAGTTATTGCTTATGTCAACAAACACTGTATATTCTAGAGGAACGCTTAAAAAAAAAAACTAAAATTCTAGAAAGTTCTACCTGTCTCCTAAAAATGATTCCATTGCCCTATCATATCTGATTTGAATCACAGGTAAGTTTTTTTTTTCCCTCACTCTCTTAAAGTTTTATTTTATTTATTTTTTGCTGGTACTGGGCCTTGGCACTGTCCTTGAGCTTTTGTGCTCAAAGTTAATGCTCTACCACTTGACCCTTAGTTCCACTTCCGGCTGTTTGTGGTTAATTGGAGATAAGAGTCTATTGGACTTAACTGCCAGGAGAGCTTCTAACCACAATCCTCAAATCTCAGCCTACTGAGTAGCTACGATTACAGGTCTGAGCAGTAGCAACCAGCTTCACACACACACACACACACACACACACACACACACACACACACACACACACACACACACACACACACACACACACACACACACACACACACACACACACACACACACACACACACACACACACACACACACACACACACACACACACACACACACACACACACACCAAATGGGAGTACCATACACAGTAAACTATAAAACTACTTCTCTCCCTTCAAAGTATAAAAGGACCACTCCCAACAAGAAGAATATTTTCTTATGTCTAAGTCCAGTGCCAGTATCAACAAACCACAAGTACACCTCACATATCTTAAAACAGCAGAACCCGCCCCATCCTTGCATACCCAATTCAATGGCTTTATGCTCTCTATAAGTGATTCAAAGTATAGACACTATTCTCAGAGTTCTCAGATGTCACTTTAGATGGTTTTCTGATGCATACACAAGCTGAAATACTTACTTTCAATCCAAATGTCCATCTCCTAACACATCTTACTGCCCTTTTCCTGGAAGCATATTATAGTTTGCTCCATTTTGTTAAAAGGCTGAAGAAAGCATCACTGTATCAGGATTTAATTAAACTATCTCCTACTAGGGAAAGTCAGGGTTCTTTTGGTTTTCAAGAGGTTTCCAGCAATATGCCATGAACATACTAACACAACACTGAATAAGAGACTATACCTACATGTGCAGTCATTTATTCACAATACAAAAAGCCCAAAGAGACTTTCAGAAACTTCCAGCAATGACACCAGATGGGAGCCCAAATCAAGATCTGATCAGAACGTACTTGAGGCTATAAAGCATTTTTATTCTTCTCTTCTGGTGAAGTCACACATTTCACTGCAGAAAGACTACCTTTCAAATATTATTATAGCTTGTTGAATTCCCAGTTGCAGAGCCTGGAGATAAGAAAGGCCAACTGTATCTGGTTTCATATTATTTTAAATTATTTGTCCAGGAGTAGCAGCGTGGCTTAGCTAAGTGACACTTAAGCATGAGGGCCTAGAGTTTGTCTCTAGCAAAACAAAAAAAGTTCATTTATTGTTAATTCCTTCTTGTAATAAGGAACAAGGAAGAGGAAAAACAATACTTTTCCTCTCTTAACAGCTAGCCACCCCTTATGGCGAACTCATTTTTACCTAGTTCTTTGAGAAACTACTTCTCTCATATATTAAATTCCCTAACAATATATTTTTTAGGTGGATGCTTGCAAAATCTTTTATATTCTAGCAAGTAGGTATGCCTGAAGTCTAAATACAGGAAACAGACTCAGCTTAAAGAGAAGCCTCTGATGAACACTAACATTCTCTTTCCTTAGGCCTGACATTAAAAAGTTCACTGAACACTCCCAAAAGTGAGGTATAGTGCTAGAACCACGCAGTTCAGGATAACCAGGTCTACCCTGGCCTCACTGACCCCCCTCATGGTTACAAGGAGAATTAAATGAATCTAGATGCCAGAAGTGCTTGGACAGCAGCTGACTTGTATTAACTGTAAATGTTGATGCTACTGTTATTACTATAGTTGGAAAGAGGAAGATCAGATTACTTCTAGATCCAATCTTTTCTCCACCTTACCTCCTGCAACTGCCATCCACAAAAGCAACACAGATGATCACCATATAGAGCAGTGGGTGTCCTACACACAACCTGGAAGAGAAGAGCTGAGTGAGCCTCTTACTGTGACCCAGTGCCAGGCTGGACACACAGCAAAGTCAAGGGTAGCCCAGGTTCCTGATGTGGAACAGGGGTGACAGGCAAGAGCAACCATGAGGAAGAAAGGCAAACACTGAGACTTGAGACTGAAGCTGAATCTATGAAACCACAGGCTCCTCAAAAGTGATGGTTAGAGATTTGCGTTTGTACTACGTCATCAGAAAACTGCAGATTCCTATCTACAGGCATTAGATCCTTTTACAAAACTGAGCATTGTTTGCTTTAAGAAAAAAGTCTTAGGAGACACAAATGTGTTTGAAGGGTATATAGGTCAGTGGCAGAGTGTTTAGTATGTGTTTAGTATGTAGAAGGATCTGGATTAGATTCCCAGCAATTGGGGGGTAGGGACATATGAAAATAGACAATATGTTAAATACATCAGCCCCTTGAGCTTGTTAAGTACTTTTATTCATCACTTTTGATGACATAGCTAAATATATAAGAACCATCATCAAACTAGATGAACTTGGAAAGCCAAGGTCCACAACGCAGAAACAACCCGGCTTCTCTAAACGGTGAGGCGGCCACATTATCTGTCCACTCTCAACAGGAAGAGCTCCACCTACTTCAAAGAGCTGAGTGCTCCGCAGAAAGTTCAAAAGTCGCTGCAATGAGCCAACACACCCCATCACACCGTACACAACAAGGGCTTGGTCACATTTTTTTTTTTTTGACAGTTCAAACATGTTCTATCTTGTTGAAGGTCAGCATGGACCATATTGTGCATTTTTTATAAATAGAAGTTTTACTGACCCATGCCTTCTACAATTATCTCTTAAGAGATGCTTTCTAGCTTGCTAGAGAACAGTTAAAACAGACCAATGCATAGGATTATAAGGTTTAAATATTTACTATCTGCCCATTTTTAGAATGTTTGTTGACCTCCTCCTCTGAGCCATGAAGATTAAGCGATAAAGTCCATAGTCACCTGTGAAACTGACTTACAAATTTACCAGGAAGTATACAGTCACTCCTCTCTCACTTCCTCAAACCCCAGTTATTGACACATTTTCCCCAATTGAGTCAGATGATAGTTTGTAGAAACTTTACGAGCATGTAAGGCCGGGCACAGGTGGTTCACACCTGTAATCATAGTTACTCAGGAGGCTGTGATCTGAGAATCGTGGTTCAAAGCCAGTCTGCGCAAGAAAGTACATGAGATTCTTATCTCCAATTAACTATCAAAAAAGCACAAAGTGGAGCTGTGGTTCAAGTGGTAGAGTGTTACACTTGAGCAAAGTAGCTCAGGAACAGTACCCAGTCCTGAGTTCAAGTCCATGATAGGCATAAAATAAAAAAGTAAAATAAAATCAAAACCTTTTTGTACAACTAAAGATACTTTTTAAAGTGGAAAAAAATGCAGCCATACATGATTATGTACGCTTAGTATCCCAGCACTCAGGAAGGAGAATTACCAATTCAAGGCCAGCCTAAGCCACAGGGTGAGACTTTGTATAAATAATAAATATACAATAAACAAGAATGTTCTCTATTAGGTGGAGAAACACCAAAAAGAGAGTATGTAGATAAATGAAAACTAATAGAAGAGCTAAATTCCATCTTGTTTATCCAGTATTTAGAATTTTCTAAAGACAGCCTTACCCCCTAATCTTGGCAAAAATTTACAGATTTTTCCTTTTAATTCAAGAGCCCCAGACTGCAGCCCAAATTTTGCTAGTTATCCATAAGCTATGAATTAGTTGTTACATTTTTCTTACTAGTTGAAGAAAGTTCAAAGATATGTGAAAAGTACATCAGAAGAAGACTTGAAGCTTGGCATGGTAATGCGCGTCAATAATTCTAGCATACTGGAGGATCATGGGTTCAAGGCAGCCTATACTTCATAGAAAGACTCTGTGTTTAAAGAAAAAAAAAGCCAGTCACCAGTCGTTCTCGCCTATAATCCTAGTTATTCAGGAGGCTGAGATCTAAGGATCGAGGTTCAAAGGCAGCCCAGGCAGGAAACTCGTTAAGACTCTTATTTCCAATAAGCCTTTCCACTAGAAAACTGGAAGTGGTGCTGTGGCTCAAGTGGTAGAGCACTCGTCTTATGCTGAAGAGTGCAGGGAAAGTGCCCAAGCCCAGAGTTCAAGCCCCAAAACCGACAAAAAATAAATAAATAAACAACACCAGTAGCTCACATCTGTAATTCTAGCTACATGGGACATCAAGAGAATCTAGGTTGGTTCCAGACCAACCTGGGCATAAAAGTCCAAGAGACTCCATCTCAACAGAAAGATGCGAGGGGTGTTAGCGTGAGTCTGCCATCCCAGCTACAATAAAAGCCTAAAATAGGTGGATTATGGTCCAGGCATGAACCTGGGCAGGAAGGAAGACCAGAGCAAAAAAGGGCTGAAGGTATGGCTCAGCAGCAAAGTATCTTCTTAGCAGGCACAGTGTCCTCAGTTTCAAAGCCTAATGCAAAAAAATATAAAAAGCATCTAATTCTAAAAATTTTAATTCTTAAAAAAAAAGTTTTAGAGGAACAGGACCATACCCATTTACTTACATAGCTGTCCCTTATTCCAAGACCCCATTTGGATAACAAAATCTAAGGGCTTTCAAACCACTTATTTAAAATGATATTACATCTGAATATAACCTATGCAAATATTATACTTGAAATAATCATTAGACTGTTGACAATATCTAATATTATGGAAATACCTGTTATGCTGTATAGATTAGTACCTGACAACAACTTAACAAGAAGACTTCACATGTTTAGAAAAGAAGCAATTTGTTTCCAATGTGGGGCTTGAACTAGGGGCCTGGGAGCTGCCCCTAACCTCTTTTTGCTCAAGGCTAGCACTATATCACTTTGAACCGTACCACTATTTCCAGTTTTCTGGTGGTTAATTGGAGATAAGAGTCTTACTAATTTTCCTGCTGGGGTTGGCTTTGAATTGCAATCCTCAGATCTCAGCCTCCTGAGCAGGTGTGAGTTACCAGCTCCTGGTATCAATTTTTTTTTTAGTTGCAATTCAGAAGTTAGTTGAGTCTACAGCAGTAGAACCACAAGATAGGGGCTAACCCCATATTATTTATAGCTATTGGGCTGCAGACTTGAGTAGCTGTGACAACTAAAACCTAAAATGTCTGGAAAAGGGTAGCTAGCTGACCTTAGCCACAGTTCAATGGTTCCCAAAGTGTGGTTAGTCGCATCAGTTTTGCCTTGGAATTTGTTAGATATATAAATTTCCTGTCTGAAAAAAGACTTAACAGATTAGCATCTTGGGATACCATTAGCCACTAGTGTGCAAAAGGCAGAACAGGCCTTATGGATAAAGGCTTGAGGCCTACTCCATTTGCTCTAGCTTACCCTGCTGGACAAGGCACACTAATGCATTTGGTTCTGGACACCTTTTTTTCTTTTTTGAAGTAGTAGGGCTTGAACTCAGGGCCTGGGCACTCCCTGAACTCTCTTGCTCAAGGCTAGTACTCTATCACTTTGAGCCACAGCTCCCACTTGCAGTTTTTGAGTGGTTAATTGGAGGTAAGAGTCTCACCAGGACTTTTCTGCCTGGGCTGGCTTCAAACTGCAATCCTCAGATCTC